GTATCCCTAACTGCCTGATTCACTTCACTAAGTTCGGGGATCCCCTATCTGAGATGGAAGAGATTGAGCAGGTTTACGGTGCCACTGGACCTCTAGCCCAGGGACGTGCTCTGCTGGGGTGGTGCTACACCAGTAATGCCCAGCGGGGCCCCCACAGAGCACGCTTCGCTTGCGCTGTCTGCTGCCGTTACCCTTAACGACGCTCTCAGCGACTTCTTATACTGTCAGCAGTATAATTAACTTACTCCTTCACTCGCCTCATCGGAGTGAAGCTTCACTCGCCTCATCGGAGTGAAGCTCTCCCGCTCTCCTTCAAAATCTCTTCCAGTCAGACAGCCCTAACAATTAACAAAAGCTTACTACCTTGTTTGTTGATTTGCCAGGGGTGTCACCGAGAATAATTGCCAGCGCATCCTCCACCATAACTGTAAGGGGTATACAGTCAAAGACCCAGAACCAGATATGAAGAATGAAGACCCGGAGTCAGACTTATAAAAAATTAAAGAAAAGTTTTACTGAAGATAGTTTGCATTTTCATCAGCAGAAGTCAGCTTCAAGACTCCCACAGGAGTTCGTAGGCCGCCCCCCTTACAGTTACAAAGATCACAGCAGTTATACCATTTCCAAGGTCTAAGCTACGTCATTGCTTACAGGTTGAATGATTCTCATTGGCTAAGAAACATTAAAGCCTAAACAATTTAACACATGTGAGGAGATAGGGGTGCCTATCGCCATTAGTAAAGATAGTTGTCGTCCACTCATTGGATTTAGGTCTGTGGTGGCCTCGCAGGTTAGAGAAGGGCGCCGGGGTGTCTGGTCCGACCGTCCAGAACCTACATAGAATGTCATACGCACACACACACAAATAACAGACACTAGCAAATAACAGCTCCCATCAAGGCTGAAGAGAGTCTGAGCTCCTTATTATCAGTTAAGTATACCAAAACATAATGCTAAAACATTCACTCGTTTGGGAGAAAAACAGATAACTGGCATTTACTCCCAAGGAAGGAAATATACTGGAAAGAATACATTTTAATACAACAATTAAAGTTTGATAGTAACGCTCAATATAGCTTGACTATATGTCCAGCGAAGAATCATATGTGCCCACGCTGCCTTTAGGACCCTCTAACCTTTCTACTGATCCCAGAGAAAGAGACAAACGGCCTTGTGGGTTACGTGGCCTTCGTGTCCTGCGTGTACTACGTGCAATCTCAAAGTAAGATTGGGATGCACCTAAAAGAAACTGGTTACTTGCATCCATGCATTTAAGAAAATATAATTTCACAAGCACAAGAATATAAAAATTATTATGTGATAATGAATATATTTGATTATTGATTTTTATAAAGGAAGTATATAACCATTCAAAATGACATATGATTATATATGTATTTGAAGAGGCAAGGGATTTTGACCAACCCTTCAACTGTTTTCTATTTGAGTTTTATATTATTATTATAATTACTTTATACTGTAGGCCTATATACAGTATATAGTTGTATAACTAGCCAACATGTTTCGAGTCTTACACCAACTCTGGCAGTTATATTTATTGTGCTCTAGGGAGGCAGGATCTGCATCATAACCTGATGTGGCATGGAAAATCCCCTCAAGTGTGTCACTAACAGCAGTCATTTATTCAGCCACTGTGACTGACGTGTCCTCTGGGGTCCGTCGTTATCCTCAAACCTCTCTAAACCATGCCACGTGTACATCTGCGATTATTATATTTATTCATTACATTTAGCTCACAGTTTTATATTCCCAATTCTCAGCTTGAGAAAAAAAAATTCTATACTGCAAAATAATCAACAACAGAAGCTATCAAAATCATGAAAAAAAAGACGGTGAAATTTAAAACTAAAAATGTTATGGTCTCCAGCCTAGTCAGGCTTTTTAGGCTTGGCGGACCAACTACCAGCAGAGAACCAATTTGCCTGGGAGACCAGCCAGCTATCTAATAGGGCTACAGCAAACCAGCTAGCTGGTTTAATGTGCTTTTTTCTAAGTTTAGCTAACTAAAACAGCAGAAACACATATTCCAAATTTAGTAACTTGATAATTACGTTTAGTAAATTAAATATAGGGCCCTACAGAATGCCTGAGGCGTTTCGAGCCTTGTTAGGTTGACTCGTTTCCAAAACAGTTGACAAGGGCAATAGGGAGACCACTGTCTCTTTAATAATTCTTCTCTAATGAAAATCCCTCGCCCTCCGCCTCCCCGTCCCGTGGGAGAAATTACGAACCCTACTATTAAAAAGACTTAGCTCATTAATATTTATTAGATCATGCTGGCGTTGCTTGGTAACCCCACTAACACGTCAGTCACAGAAGCTGTACCAAAATGCTCACCATATGATGATTCGTTAATTCGACAGGTGATTAGCTCCGGGTCTGCATTTCGGCGAATCAGGTGGACCTACTGGGGGAGCGCCACATTCCTTAATTAATATTCATGAGGTTAAGCCTTCAGCATAGTATGATTGGTCATTTTGCGTCCGCGGTGCTTACGTACAACACCGGGGGTTCCAGGGATCAGGCATGAGTGACAGAGCTCTCCTCTGGGGGAAGCGGAGCGACTCAAAACTGCAAGGCTCGCGGCTGACAGTGCAAGCAACTTTTAACATGCAATGTAGGTTAAACCAAAACTTGGAAAAAAGTTGTTTGTTTTTAATGATTTGTTGAATGGAAATGGAAGCTTCACACTGTACTCGAGACGCTCCGTGGCTGCAGTCGCGTGACAGCATTTCTTCTGTAGGGTACATACAAGCCTCTGCTCTCAGTTAGGGCTTCATGAGTTTTACCAAACCTACCGATGTATTACTATAAATATAACGTGAGTCTAAAAATATACTATTCTAGCCAGTGGCGTGTTGATGACATTGTTATGAATCTGTTGAATCTGGTATTGGCTAGTAATGGCTATCTATCTGGTCAAAAATCCAATGATATCCTAAATATTTGTTTATAGCTAGTATAACGTTAGGTTACTATTTTGTGTATTGTGACATCTTCAGGTGTAAACGTTTTTTTCTTTTTCTTTAAAGGGCAATATTTTCCTGGGAAACCTTAGCAAACATTAAGTAGATTTAGAATAGAAACTATTTTCAACAATACAGCAATTGATACAGACACTAAATAGATATTAGGGACATTACATAAAGACTGTTTATGCAGGCATATATCATAAATCAATTAGTACAATATCCGGTTGCATTTTTGTTTGGATTCATGTTGGTTGTGCAGATCATGTACATTACAAATGGAACCCAGCTGATAAAGTGGGCTATATAAAATTTCTTATGAGCAAAAAAATATATATATATGTGATACCTACATAATTTATCTGTGTACATACATTTATAGATTGGTAGACAGACAGACAGATAAGAAAGAAAGATATACACAGTCAGAAAGACAAATAAGATAAACAGACAGACAGGCTAGCTCTTTGAAAGTTTGGTCTCAGAGGAGTGAAGAGTTTCTACAGTCACACATTTTTATGTAATTTTGGCCCATTATGGGAAAACCATAGATCTAGTAAGATTAAATCAGAAAAGCAAATTAATAGTATTAAAAAAATAAATAGTATTGTCTTTGTCAAGACATCATAATGACAAGCACTGTATCAAAGTAATGTCTCACACTGTCCAGGGTTTGCATGCTTGTTCTCTGCCTATGAAGGCCTGATTGTTGAACATGCATGTACAGTATTACTTCAAATTCTTCCATTGACAAAGAGGGCTAAACTTAGCTGCTAACTAGAGGTCTCCCAAATTAGGCAGGGCGAACAGGCAGGTCCTCAGTGGTTATCTTCTCTCTGATGTCTCAGTGTGGACCTTGTGATGGGAGAGAGTGCCGGTGCACGAGAGGTCCTCTTATCTCGGTTCTCTGAGAGCAATAAGAGCATATCAGGCGTTTCTCACTGCCACTTGTTCTTTGTCTAAAGCTGCTCATTAAAAAACCTCCAGATGCCTCTGGATGTTTGGGATAACATTATCTCAGATGCCATTCAAGGTTTGTGTTTGCAATAAAGAAATAAATACTAAGAGAATATTACCTCCTATATTAATAATTACAATGTTAATGTATTAATGAAGTTAAAACTCTGGGTTCGGTAAGATTTTTAATGTTTTTGAAAGAAGTCTCTTATGCTTACCAAGGCTGCATTTATATGAATAAAAAAACAGTAAAATGAGTAATATATTGTGAAATATTTTTACAATTCCAAATAACCATTTTCTGTTTTAATATATTTTTAAAATATAATTTATTCCTGTAATGGCAAAGCTGAATTTGCAGCAGGCACTCCAGTCTTCACTGTCACATGATCCTTTAGAAATCATTCTAATATGCGGATTTGGTACTCAAAAAAAAAAAAAAAACATTTCTTATTATTATTATCAATGTGATGCATTATTTTTTCCAATATTCTTTGATATTAGAAAGTTCAAAACAACAGCATTTATTTGAAATAGAAACATCTTAAATTAACATTACAAATGTTTATACTGTCACTTTTAAAGAAATTTTATTACTTTTAGATTAAAGAATATTCATTTCTTTAAAGAATTCTAAACAGTAGTTTGTTAATATTTCAATGTATTTAATGTGATGATAAAATTAATAGACACTTAATTTAAACAGGTGACAATTCAATCCAAGAATGCGTTGTGAATGCATGAGATAAGCTTGTTTGTGTCCATAGGGGAAGCCAATTTAACCTTTTGTTAACCCTTTTTCGGAATCAGCCAGGTTGCACTTGGACTCTTTACCAAAAAGACATGAATTCAGTTTTCATATAATCACTATCCCAGGTCCCTGTACATGATCCAGATGAGGCACCCTAGAAGAAAGGAGTCTAGAAAAATCTTTTAGCCTAAGAGGGGACTATATTAGCCCTGTGAATCATGGGAGGCCTGGCATTCTGGGTGTCCCCTTACATGCCATATAAGTACCCCTTCCTCCCCCCTCCCCCCAATGCCATAGTGCTATCGGTGTCGGCAGAGGGGCAGCTATTCTTAGGCTGTCTGTCCAGCTCATCCGAGTAGGCAAGAATCCTCTTCCTCTGGCTCATAGCTCTTCTCTGTTGCTCCAGTTAGTTTGCAGTGTATTCGGGTGGGCCTGAATTCATTGTTTTACGCTGTTACTTTGGCCTGCAGTTTTTTGCCGTTTTTTTTGGAGAGGTGTGAGTGTTACGTTCCTTTTACACTTTTTTCTTCTTCTTCTTTCAGAGGCTGTTTGGCACGTGCCCCGCCCCCTCCCAAATCCATTTTCCCCATCCGTTTGGAGAAATTTTGTTGCTTAAACAATACACAGGCTTTTTTGAACAATGACTTCTTACAACGTGTCACTCGCTGGACCTTCTCCTTGGGGCTTCCGGTTGCAAGGAGGCAAGGACTTCAACATGCCCCTCACCGTTTCTAGGGTAAGACCCCAAAATCCTGGCCAAAATGACAATTCATTAGTTCAGCACTTTTTACTCATATCTGAATCTGTATCAATGAGTCTAATAGATTTTATTGATGTTTTCACAAGTATTGTCTGAATAAGAGCTTTAAGCATTTTACTCCAATATGAATTCAATTTAATTCCATGTCAGTTTAGACATTGCAAACCCAATTCACTCTCTTGTTATAAGATTTAAAATATGATCCATCATAATATTCATATATTTACTACAATATGAATTGATGATTTTGTAGTTCCTTTGTTCATTCATTGTTATCTTGGTAGTTGATCTTGTGCTGATCTGTTGCTGATCCAGAATAGTTTGTTATGTTGGTTATGTTATTCATCATATAATGATAATGAATATGCTTCTTCTATATTATATTATATGATGCTACTTGATCTGGAAACTTGCATAGGGCATGTCTGCTTAGCGCTATAAAGAAGTGATTGGTGTCTTGGTGTGAAGTTTGTCTTTTGGTCCGATTTGATATTGTGATTTGCTTTTCATTAATGATTTGATATTCTTTCTGCAATGCTGCTTTATTGGGGAACCTCATAAGACCCCCATGTAAATCCATATTTACAGTGTAGATGTACCGTATTGATTGTAGTGTGTGGATTCAGTTCATTACACTCTAATCGATTTATCCTCGTTCCGCTGTTATTCTTGTGTGTAACATGAAGTCTGATGACTAATGCTTCTCTTAAACAGCTAGTTCTGTGAAATTGTACAAGGAATTCATTATGAATGATTTCCAAAGGGTGTTTTATGGGCTTTATTTTGGGAGTGGTGTGAGAAAGGAAGGTCAAATATCACAGAAGGGCGAGATCTCATCATATTACTGTAACAATTATATCTCTGCAAACGCATATAGCAGACCTAGTAGAAACATTCTACTCGCTGAAAGCATAACGAGAACAGCCCAGAGAACATTTGACCTGCGTTTGACCATGAATTTATCTGTTATCTGTGTGATTTGTGTTGGAAGAGCACTGTCCACAACATATGCACCCTCCTATTCTCAGATGTCTAGTGAGGACAGATTCACTGGCCCAGTATGTTGCTGGCATTCGAGGGTCTTGAAAAAATAGATCCTCTTGTGTAAAAAATGTCAGACAGTGATTTGAGCGGTCAAACGGTGCCAATACACGCCACAGAGAGATGATGCACTGCCATTTTGTCACCTCTGCCAACATAGCCTGGGGTTAGGAAGAATGTTTGGTACACTATCCTAGGTGGCCCACTGAGTTTGTCATGTTACAGTGACGTAAACACCCTTGACAATATCCTAATGCACATTGGAATCTTCTGACGCTTTTCGAGGCCTTTTATTTGCAGAATTTGACAGCTATTTGGCCTCACTGTACTAGTTTCTAAGAATATCTAAATCAAGAGGTGTGTGGCAGTTCTATTTGTCTTCCCTACAGGAAAAGACCAGTAGCACAGGGCCTAGTCAGTTACTGTAGAGTGACAGGTGGGACCTAATGGTGGGCTCAACAGGGGGGCTTTTCTATAAAAGCACCACACAGGTGTGGTGGCCTGCTGTAAAGGAGGCAAGAAGTGCTCGGTTATTCTGTATTTGAATCAAGACGTAGATCTGCTGTGAGTATCACATTAGTAGGTCTGAGGAGGATTCCTGTAACTTAAGAGGATGAATATTATTCGCCAGCCCACTGGAGACAGACGGCCTGGTTGCTATTTACTGATCAGCCAGTGAGTATTCCAGTTCAGTGCCGGAGACTTTGCTCTGAATGTTAACACATGCGATACTGTATTTGACCTGTTTCTGCTTCTGGGCAGTTGAGAGCGAGGAATAATTAGATAGATGTTTTTTTTTATAATATAAAATATGGGTGATGCATTAAATGATCAACAGCATGTACATATTTAGCAGCACAACTGTTTTCAATATTGATAATAAGAAGCAAATAAGCATATTATAATGTTTGACGTGACACTGCAACAAGGCTGTGCACAGACATTTGGGAGGCCAGGCGCTCAAGTAAAAAAAAAAGGCACCTCTCTTATAATTATTTATTATTAGTTACATATTAAGTTACATATTGTTGATCATCTTTTACACACTGTAGGGCTGTTGTTTTACCAATTAAATGAAATCAGTAACAAAATCCATTTATCATTATCATTTAAAATCATTATCATTTAAATACCATTTATCAAGATCCATTTACACTGCAATTACAATTGCCTAAATAATGTAATGAGATTATTGTTCTAAATATAACATTTTGAAAAAATGAAAGGATACTATTATATGTTAAACTAAAAGTGACAGGGGGTGGCAAGTTGTGATAAGTGAATCATTGAATTATTCATTCAACTGATTCGTTCAAACTGGCTAATTTATTCATGTCCACTGACTTTATGAATGGTTCATTGAATCATTGACTCACCTGATTTTGAGTCCATGAAAACTATATTGTGTTATCACAAAATGCAAGACCTCGTACAAGGGCAATTCATATCCTGAAAGTTTGGGTGCATTTTTATTAATTTTGGTGGCATTTCCGAACTTGCATGACGTTATTTTACATCAATAGCAGACTAGCTTGTTTGTTATGAAGCCTAATGGAGGGCTATTGCCTAAGTTAGGCTAGCTGTATCGAGATGTTTTAATAGTGGTTTAATTTCACAGCGAAGACAAACAGTGCCGAAATTTAGCGCAGACACGATTGTCTGGCTGTCACCAGGTCTGTGAGACGTGGATGCTGCTTGTCTGCTCTGCAGAGCGCTGTGGTGGATGTGTCATGGGATATCGGAGAGTGGGAGGGGCTTGTTTGGTCGCACATAATTATTATGAATAAGTTTAAAGCTTAAGGTAAGATTATATATAATTTTATGCAGATCCCACATTTCTTTTTTTATTTTGTTTATTTAAAACTATACTTTTATTTCGAAATCAATCAGTATTCCAGACTGATGAGAAGTATTGTCTTGTTGGTTTTGTTTACATACTTAATTTGACAGTGTGTTTTGAACTGAACCTTTCAATTGTTTTTATACATACCAGACGATATACAATTTATACATTTTAATGTTCTTGGGCTAATATACTGGTCCTTCTGAATTAGGTGAAATGTTGTTGGCAGATGCTCCTGTTTATGTGCTCTCATTCAGCACTAGGTGCTGAAATGAGGATTTCTTTTGGCTGAGAGCAGCTCAGACTGTAACAGATGGCACACAGAAAGCATGAACTTGCAATTCAGTTCAAACTGAAAGCAGCAGATGAGGGATATAAATACCTCTGGGTGGTTTGGATGAAAAGAAACTGCTAAGGAAAATAATACTTTTATCTGGAGAATGCATTAGATAGTAATTTAGTAATATTTAACTACTATGTACTATGTATGATACAATGCACATTTTGTGTACATACGTATACATGTTTTTATGTTGTACTTATTCAGGTATTTAAAAAACCTGAATGTTATTCATTTTCTGTAAATTACATATCTATAATTAACTACTCACCAAACCTGTCTCTAACCTTACACTGTAAAAATGATTGTAGCAATTAGTTGTCACAACTTAAAATTTAGCAGGGTTTTTTTTCTTGATATAGCTCAAATATCCAAATTGTATTGACTTTTATTATATTGACTTTTATTATCCCCATGGGATTTTTTCTTTCTTTCAGTGAGTTTCAACATGCGTTCACACATAAACAATGTACACAAATGTACACAAATGTAAAAATCACATCCATCACCAATAAAATTCACCCACACTCATTTCTGAGACCTGATGAGATTTAGGCAAGTCTGCACAACAACAAAAAAAGACTAAACTTTCAAGGCAGCAATGTTGAATTTTAAATTGTGATAACTAATTGCAACAGTGTTACTGTTTTTTATATTCCACCTCAATAGCAGCAAACATTTTGCAATACATGAACAGAAAAGGTATTGTACCCAACAATTTATAAAGTGTGACCAGTGACATTGGAAAATGGCAGAAATGGCTTTGGAAGTTATAAAAGGTCAACTGTTTAAATGATCCAAAAACTGTTCAACTAAAGTCACTAGATGCATTAAACCAATACCGGTTGAGAGGTTTTTTTAAAAAAAAAGAAAGAAATTAGCTATAAAATATGGGTAATATTCAAACTGTTTTTGTATTATTCAACAGAAGTTGAGGTCTCAGCTTGTTTTAGCCAATGTGTTGTCACTAGTGACTGGCATGTACAATATAGCACATCTTATGACCTATTGAATTCTGTAGGGAAAGGAATGGAGGGGGGTTGGGACCGCGAGTATAAAAGAGGAAAGTTATGGGGTTACCCAGCACTAAATTACCTTATGCTTATACTAATGTTCTGTGACATTTCATTTGACACTGTGGTGTCATTAGAAACGTATTTGCCTCTGAAATGATGTTACATTTAAATGTCAACATTGATGCACTGTTTAGGATCTGCCAAAATACTTTGAGAATGTCTCATCCTGTGAAGGGCACTTGCAGTAGCCTTTTAATAAACACAGCATATTATTAACATATTATTAAAGCTCTCCTGGTGTCCCTTGGAGCACCAACTGGTGGAATAGTGTTTCACCTTTGTGAAGTGGTATTTGGGTGTTCAAATATGGAAGTTTTAAATTAAGGTTCACTCCCATTCACATGGTATTCACTGAGCATCCAGTTAAAGCTTGTGAAGATTGAGTTTTATGGTTGGCCTGAATTTGATCTGCATTAACACTACGGGTGTGTTGGAATAATGACACAAATGTAGCTGTCTCTTCACTTGGACGGCATTCAAAGTTTTTTTTTTTTAGTTCTAGAAATAGCACAACACCCCTGATGAGAGTGTTCCCAACAGTGTTTATTTTCATTGTGGCTTTCCAATGCTGGACTGCTTATATGACATCTCTCCACACGCCTATTCTCTAATAAGCTGAGGGAAATTGTACATTCCAGTCAGTCTTCAAGAAAATTGATGCTGGCAGATGAACACA